CTTCTGATTAGCAGTCAAGTGTCTTAGGCACTATGCTGCCAGAGCTCCCTATAGATATTTACCACAATAAAAATAAATAAGTAAAATTAAAAAATGTCAATAGACATATCTGAATATGTTCATTTTCTTGATGGAGAAAGTTGAATGTCAGAAAGGTTAAGGACTGGTCCAAGGTTACACAGCCAATGAGGAGAAGGACAAGAACTGGATGCCAAGACTTCCATCTCTCAAATCTCATGTGTTTCCACCAGCTTCTCTAAGGAAGAGGTTGTATCCACGACTTCCTCAAGGTCTCTGGCTCCCATCTTTGCCTTGTGAGTTAGTGTTGCACCTAGGATAGTAGGCTGGACATCTTGTATTGCCCATTCAAATCAGTTCTCCACTCTTCTCTACTTTGGTCTAGGCCTCCAGAGGCTGACCAGTGGACTGTAGTCAGCGGACTTCCTTGACCTCTACCTCCCAGGTAGATGTGGTCAAGGAAAGCACCAGTAGGAGACTGGATGAGAGGAATGAAGGGAGGTCCAGGTGTTGATTCCCTGACTCCTCTCTTGCCAGGTGGCAATGATGGATCCCTCTACCAAGCATAGTACCTGTGGGGCTACACCTACTTCCAGCCTGGTAGCCGCTCCCTCCTCCACGCCTTCACTGCTAGGAGTGGGGCAGCTCCCCTGCTCCTGCTATTCCTCAATACTTCACCCTTCCTCGCAGATCTCCATTAACCCTTTATAAATAGTTTATTAAACTCTTCTTGATGTTCCTGTTGGAGTGTGTTATCTGTTTCCTACCAAGATCCTGACTGATACACACTGTGTCATTGGAACACAGTCTCAAAGGTAGGAAGGTGGTTTCCCATTGTAGGGATGATTGGTGAAGAAATTGGAGGATGGAGAAAGGACATTTAAACAACAGAAACAAAAAAACAAAAGACCCATTGTTGTCAAATCGATATTGACATATAGTGACGCTATAGGACAGAGTAGAACTGCCCCATAGGCTTTCCAAGCCTGTAATCTTTATGGAAGCAGACTGCCTTATCTTTCTCCCATGGAGCAGCTAGTGGGTTAGCAGCCAAGTGTTTTAACTGTGACACCACCAGTGATCCTTAGAAAGGGCTTAACTGTGATAAAATGAGTAATAAAAAGTCACATTGCAGGGATGGGGAAAAGAAGGATTCCATGGGAGAGAGAAACAAAGATAAAGTAAAGAGATAGACAATGCAGAGAATGAAGTGTGAAGAGTGCAAGACAGAATGAGAAATAGGGACAAGAAGGAGGTAAGGATGAGAGGGATAAAAGAGCTCCAGTGAGAGAAAGTGTGAGAAAAGCAGAGATGGATGGATGGATGATAGATCAAATGGAGACCAGAAGTAGAATAGAAGGAAAGGCAGAGACATGATTATAGAAGAGGAAGAGACAGAAAGTGGGAAATGGGGTAGGAGGAGGATTGGAGTCCAGAAGAAGAGGAAAGAGGGGAGGGAGAGAAGAAAGAGAAAGTTCTCAGAAGTGGGAAGGAGAAAAGAAATTCATTCAAACACTCAGGGGCTGTCCCACCAGTGTTCACAGTGACCTGGTTCCTTTCATACCAACCCCTTAAGACACAACACACGACCAGGTTCCCAACTGCCAATCCATTTCCTTGGTTCTAGAGGGAAGTGGGGAGCTGGGCAAAGAAAGAAGATGTCCCAGAACCAGGTGGGACCAGGCTACTCACCTCTCTCTGCTCAATGCAGATTTTGCACAGCCACACGGGATGTGGGCGGTTGTTGGAGGTTTCCACCCCACACTTGGTGCAGACATTCTGTGGATGAAACACAGGCCAGTGCACACTCTGAGCTGGTAGGGGTTGGGTACGGAGGCTGGGTAGAGTGGGAATGGAGCCCCATTCCTCCTTGGCAGACAGAAAGCGCTAGAACTCTCACCCTTTCCTTCTATGAGCATGGCTAGTTAGAATAAGGTTCCAATTTGACTCCCTCCCCTGTTGATATTCAATGATCCATCCAAATCACCAAATCATAAAGTTCCCATGTGAGCCTCAATTCCCAATAACAAAAACTTGAATCATTCTCAAGTACTACATGAAGGAATTCTCCAAGAGTCCCCATGGGGTCTCAGTGTTCAGCACCCATACATGGGAGATCACTGACTTGGTCTTTTAAGGGGATTTTGTTTATTAGTTTATTCCTTCGTTTTCTCCACAAGGGATCTGAGGTAACATAGACTATAACTAGAAGTTCAAATCCCCAAAGAGAAGGAAGTTATCTGAGTAAGCATCATGGCTGTGCAATGGAACCTTGTATTTCTGGCTGAGTTTCCTGGCAATCGAGACAAGTTGGAAAACTCAGTAGGTCATGAAGTTCTCACTACTTGGTTGACTGCTATGGACACGTTTTTCAGAGTAGATCAACTTTCCCCGATATTCAATTCTAAATGAAAATGGGACACCCAAAAGAAATGCCAAGTGACATTATGGATGTCTCCAGCTGGGTTGTCCCTTGAGCTCCTTTCTTGGGAATTCAGCAGACCCAAGGACAGCTGTATTCCTTCCCTGGAACTGTCAAGAGAAGATAGCTTAAGGAGAGAGGGGGAGAGTGAGAAAGCAGAGGGCGAGTCCCCTCCCAGAACAAATGTCCTTGAAGCTTAATAATTCTAACTTGGCTGGAGATGGACTTTCTAAGTCTCCTACATCATAACCCAAGGCAAGGGAATGCTGGGTGAACCTTCTACATCCACACATGTGTAAATGCGTGCCCAGAATGCTCTTTAAGTTGACACATAACTTGATAACACACAACCAGGATACTTGTAGTCTTAAGCACAGCTCAAGTCCTACCTCAGATTCCCAAGTTCAGCCTGGATAGAGCTCAGCTCCCAGGGGACAGAAGGGCAGAGTGACTTCCAGGGGGAGGAACTGCATCTGGGTTACCTTTGAAGACAGCTGGGCATGGGGGGGGCATTCTAGAAGGAACAATATTCTGACAACCATCCCCTGGATCCCAGCTCCATTCTCAAGAACTAGGATCCCCCAAGCCTAAAGCTCTGATGCTGCCCCCTGTAGGTTCTGAGTAATGGGGAGGGAAAGGAGGTATGTGGTACCTTCTTACAGTCTTCACACACGACACAGGCGGAGCCTAGCATCCCCAGCTGTTCTCCACACAGTATGCAGCGGTTCACACCATCCCCGGCCACGTTCTTCCTCATGCTCTCCAGGCGGTCCACCAGCCGCCTAGAAGCAGAGTCAGGGTAATAAGGACCTCACTGAATGAGGACCACTAGCATTTCCTCAGTATCAGAGGGTCTTAACCATCTTTGAATTATAGACTCTTGAGCACCTGATGATGGCTGTGGACTCTTCCCCACATAACATGATGATACACTTTCCCTCCCATACCCTGCAAAGCCCCATCTATTCTACTGACTTCAGAATAGGTACCTTGTCTAGTCCTTTCTATCTCTCATCACCTCCAGGGAAGCTGTCTCATCTGCTACCTAACTGTCTACACAGTGTTTTCACTTAGGTTTCTTTACAGGCATTTCAGGCTTATGTTTTCAAATCGAACTCTTCATCTTCTTTTCATTGCCACCCCCAGGAAACCTGCTCCTCATTCTCAGTAAATGATACTATCATCCACTAACTTACTCAAGCTGAAACCCGGGCATCTTACTTGACTCCCTCTTCTCATGACAGTCAATGATCCAACCAAATCATCAACTTCTACTGAGCCTCCCTCCCTGACATTTCTAGAACCCATCTGTTCCTCTTCATCTCCAACTCAACCAAAGCACCATCACCTCTCTCCTGGTTGACTACAGCAACTCTTAATAGGTATCCCTGCTTCATTTGAGTCCTTCTACAATCTGCTCTCTCCCGCACAGCCGTCGTGATTTCTAAAATACAGATCTTATCATATAACCCCCCAACGCATGTCTATACATGGTCTGGTCTCAGCTGAACCCTCAAATCTCTTCTCCTTGGTCTTGTGTCCAGTGCTCTTGTCCAGTGGTTCTCCAGCCCAGCGGCAGCAACCTCACCCGAGAACTTGTTAGAAATACAAAGTCTAGGCTTCCACTGCAGATTAACTCAATTATAAACTCGGGGTGGGGGGCAGTAATATGTGTTTGAAGAAACTCTCCAGGCACTCCCACCGTTCTAGTGACCCTGGTCTTCCTTCAGGTTCAGTTCTCCCGTCTGCCTCAGTACTTCTGCCCATTCTGTTCTTTGTATGTGGAATAAGCCTTCCTCCGTTTTTACTCCCCACTCCATATTTGTGACCTCTCTCTAAAGGAGAGCATCAGCGAAAGAGGGGAAGACCCTCAACGAGATGGATTAACACTGGCTGCGGTGATGGGCTCAAGTAGATTAAAGACTGAGGCTTGCGCAGGACTGGGCAGTACTCTGCTCTGTTGTACATAGGGTCGCTGTGAGCAGTTGACCTATGGCCCCTGACATCATCATCATCATCATCTCTCACACACACATGTATGTACCACTCTCACCCACACCTACTTTACAATTTTCCTGGCTAAATTCTCCTCATTCTTCAAAGCCCTGTTGAAACATTGCTTCCTCTTGGAAGCCTTCTCTGGCTTCCAAAGGAGCCAAGCCTTCTGTTTCATTTACTCAAACAGCACCCCTGTGCTGCTTCTTCAGAGCACGTACCACATTTATAAGTAACTGATTATTTTCACCACATCATTAACAGACTGTGAGACCACCTCTGGCTGTCCCTGGGCACCACAGTGCTCCTGGGCCTCAGTGAACGGGGACACGATCGCACAGGGATCTGATGAAAATGTAGATTGTAAGGCAGCAGCTGGGGGTGGGGGAGCTGGGGTGCCACACCCTGAGACACTCCCAGGTGACACCGTGTGATGCCACCAGGCCTGGCCATCCTCTGAGCTGCAAGGCTATGCAATACTTTTGCCTGTGTGGCAGCCTGTTTGGATCTCAGGTGTTTTGTTTTAGACCCTCCCTACCAGCTTGAAAGGAGCTCTGGTAGCATAGTGCTTAAGGCACTTGACTGCTAACCAGAAAGCTGGTAGTTCAAACCCACCAGCCACTCCTCGGAAGGAAGATGGGGCAATCTACTTCCGTAGTGATACTGCCTCGGAAACCCAAGGAGGGGTCACTACGAGTCGGGTCCACCTCGACGGCACGTAACAACAACAAAAACAACACCAGCTTGAAATCCTCTCCTTGTCCTTCCCCCCCGGGGGTGGCCTGGTATTCCGATTCCAGGCCTCACAAGTGGATCCGTGTGGAGCAGGATCTGTCCGCCCATGCAGGAGTGGGGCCCCGGCTGGGGCCCTCAGAGGTTGAGATCTGATGAGCTGAGGCTTGGGCCCCCACCCTGCTCTGGGTCCTTGGTGGCCATGACCGGCAGCCACCTGAGGCAGGCTCTCCCCACAGGCCCTCCTGCTTCCTTCATTCCCTCAAAGGCGCTTGGACTGGCGGTGTTATAAATAGCAGCTTCTCCCTTTGTGTTCCATTCAGGACAGGAGCTGCTTTGGCAAAGGATGCGCTGAACCGGGCCTGTGGGCTCCGGAGCCTCTGCTGTGACCCAGATTGGACAGAACTGCTGAGGAGGCTGGTATGCAGAGTGGAAAGCAGCCCACCCACCTGCCTCTCCCCGCCCCCTTGGCTTCCCTAGACATTGTCTCTGTATGATAATGGGAGGAGGCAGTGACCAAGAAAGAGCCCTCAGTCCATACTTACGGCACACCTAGAATCACAGCTGTTCTTTGCTGCCACATCAATTATGTCTCAGAGCGCCCCTAGTGGACAGAGTAGAACTGCCCCATAGGGTTTCCTAGGCTGTAATCTTTATGGAAAGGAGCTCTGGTAGCACAGTGCCTAAGGCATCAGACTACTAACCAGGGGTTAGTGGTTCAAATCCACGAGCCACTCCATGGAAGGAAGACTAGGCAATCTACTTCTGTAAAGACTTATCGCCTCAGAAACCCAATAGGGGGTCCCTACGAGTCCGAATCAACTTGATGACAGTGAGTTTCATTTTTATTGATTTTTTCTGAATCTTTATGGAAGTGAGAATGGCCAGACTTTGTCTCACCTGCTTTGGTCATGTTGTCAGAAGAGACCATTCCCTGGAGAGGGACATCATGCTCGGTAAAGTGGAGGGTCAGCAAAAAAGGGGAAGGCCTTCAACAAGATGATACGACACAGTGGCTATAATGAGGGGCTCAAGTATAAAAAGAATTATGAGGATGGCGCATGACGGGGCAGTGTTTCCTTTTGTTGTGTACAGGGTTGCTATGACTCAGAGCTGACTCAATGGCACCTAACAATAGCAATTTTTATGGGAGCAGGTCACCAGGTCTTTTCTCCCATGGGGCTACTGGTAGGTTTGAACCATTCACCTTCAGGTTAGCAGCTGAACACTTAACCACTACTGTTAGGTGTTAGATCATAGTCGCTGATGTTTATTGAACACTTACTATGTGCCAGGTACAGAGATAAAAACTGCACATGGACTTAATTAATGCATCCTTACAGCAGCACTAAGCCAAGGAAGATTCTTGTCCATTTCCCAGATGAGGAAACTGAGGCACAGAGAGTTAAGTGGTCCACCCAAGTCACATAGCTAGGAAGTAGTTAAAGCTGGGATTCAGATCCAGTCGGCTGGTTCCTGAGTCACCCACATAGCCACATGTCAAGCAGAGAAATGGGGGTCTCCCTGAACAGTCTGTTTCCCACCCTATTTGATTCTCCCCCCTTCCCACCCAAAAGGACCCCATCACTGGCAAATACCAAAGTGTGTGCACACACACACATACAGAGTCACTCCACTATTTTGTTCCCAGCTGCTTCTCACCTCTCCGAGCTTGGGACAAGATACCCAGCCGCAACCCATCACTTGCTTCCCTAAAGAATCTTCATTGTGGGGCTAGGAAATCTAGATTATAGCCCCAGCTTCTGTCTCTATGGACTTTAATTCCTCCATCTGTAAGACTGGAGATGGTAGGCTAGACCAGTGGTAGGTTTTCTAACTGCTTCATAGAACCCTAGGCATTCCGCAGAGTCTGTCCATGGGCCACCCGGCTCAGTGGCATGGTGGGAGGGTCTGGGGGGACCTTCATTTCATCCAGAGTGCATCTGCCTTTATGTCTCTCATTTGAGCTGCTGAACTAGGTTTCCTTTGTGAAGGTGGGTCCATGGTCTAAAGAAGCAGTTGGAAATTGACTGGAGCAGATAAGCTTTGAGGTGACCTTCAACACCACAGAAGGAAAACAAGAGACAACAAGGTGAGCTAACGGAGGCAGAGGATAGTGGTGTGCTGGCATTCTTCCTGTTCACGCCCTTGTTCTTGCCTATTTTCTCTTACATTCACCACTTTTGCCAAAAATGGTCAGATTTTCTTCTTCTCCTTCTACCATTGGGGTCCTGAGGCACAGAGAGGGTCACTCAGCCAGGCTAGCATCTAGTCCTTGGCTTCAGTGAATCATCTTTGCTTTCCATGAAACCCCTAAGGCCTCCTGCCTCAAGTCGAGCATTGCAGCCCAGCTCAGGGAGAGAGTGTGGGGTCAGTGACCCTAGTGCAAACTGCAGTGTGTCCTATGAGGGAAACACAGAAGGCTTTCCTGCCTCCCCTGGGAAAATAAGAGCCGCGGACTCACCACCACCTGCAGACCCACCTCCTCACTCGTCACCAGGAGGCCGACTCCTTCCACTCTCCATACTAAAATCTCACTAACACACATCATGTGCAGAATGTCTCATTAGCATCAATCAGCGGCAGACAATGGCATGGACATGCAACAGATTTAAGACCCTTCCTCACATGTCTCAGCTCTGGGACCCTAGTTATTCATGAATTCAATGCAGGTCGAGGAAGAGAGATGGATGGGTGGGTGTGGAAGATGTTCCTGATGTTCCTTCTCTGCTCAGTGATGGGGAAAGAGCAGGGGGCACCTCTAACTTGCCCTTTTGGACATCCCCTCTGTAGCCCAAAATCCTGGAGCCACAACATGGAAGGATCTGAACGGTCAAACATTTTAAACTTAGAAATAACACTTGGTAGGAAGCAAAGTCAAAATCGTGTCATGGAAGACCATGAGCTGCAAATGACTCTGCCTCCTGGTGACAAAACACATTTCAGCTTCTTCATTAAATGCCCAGAAAAAGTACTTATTTCTACCAGTTGTGGCAGGAGAGCTCCATGTGCATGATGGGAACTGTAGTCAACCCACACTGCTTGACAGTCACCA